GCTATCCAGTTTCGACTCAACATCTCAACCTCAATTCCTCCCAGCTACAAGCTTTCATCGATGTCATCCCACGGCGTCATCTCAGCTTATCCCGACTCGTTTACAAAACAATCCCTTCACAGTCGACGCAGCGACTTCCGTTCCGACATCACCCCGTTTCAACACAACAGGTTGATAAACCAGAAAGACGATCTACAGCCGTGACCTCGATCAACGAAACGTGCACCGACCACATCGTGGGACTTTGGTCACGCCGGCACGAGAAATGGTCCAACTCCAGACATTACGCGTACACCTGATCGCTATTCCTGTATTCTCTACCAACAATAAACGGTGTTTCACACTAATCCTCGTCATTTCTTTCTCTCGCTACCACACGCTTAATATAATACGCCGTTTATTTATTAAACAGTATATTTATTTATATATAAATACGAGTATCCTCTAAAAATAACGTTTTTAGTGGATTTTAAACACACGCACACACACACACAAACAAATATATATATGGAACATCTCTAGTGTGGTGAGTTGACCACACTCTATACACTTTCCTTCCAAACACTGCTATAAACAATGGCAGTCAGCTAGAACGTTATAAAATAATGTGCATGCGTGACAGAGTTCAAAGTCAATCTGTGCCAAGTGGCTTCACTCTGTATACCGTAGCTCCGTTACCATAGCAACAGTCCTACTGCTTTCTGATTAGACCTCCTATATGTATGTATGTATAATTCCCAGTAATGTCCGTAGAGTGATGATGCGGTAATATGTCCGGAAAACATCCGATGTACATCAACTTCCACTTTCTTGCGACAAAGACCAGGCGAGTTATTTGTTGTCGAACAGTAGAGGAAAGAATACGTGTACATGGCGCACAATGACTGAAAGCAAACTGGAGCAGCAGGTTAGCATTACGTCTTGTGTGGAGATTGGTAAAAGTGCCAGTGAAACAGTTCGAACTCGATACTTTATGGTGGGCATGCTATGAAGAAATCGAGTGTTTTCGAATAGTACAGGCGGTGCAAGAAAAGACGTGAATATGTAAACGATGACACAAGAAGTAGGCAGCCAAAACTACAAAGAACAGATGCAAATTTTGACAGAGTGTAATGTTGGTTCGCTCAGAACGAAAATTAATTGTGCAGAAGAAATGAATATGAATAGAGAAAAAATGCGGCAGATTTGAATTTGAGAATGAGGAAATTGATGTTTTTTGGAATACGAGAGTTTCAGATCTAGAAATCAGCCATTCGCTTTACTTACCAGACTTCTTTGTCATTTGTGACTATTTCCAGAACTGAAAAATTGAAAAATTTTATTGACGATGAAAGATTTCCCAGAATTGTTTCTTCGAGTATTTACAACCACTTTGGCTAGTTTCAAGAAGGAAAGTTGAATTTTGGGATTTTTTAGTATTATCATTCGCTATGATTTCATATTTTGTGTTTGAATTTTTATCATTAGATATCCGAATAATTTCGAGAAATCGTTTTATATACACTAGACTCTCGCGTCGTTTACGACGTATGAATGTCAAACAGCTCAGTTCTTAGAACCAACAGTCAGACAACCCGAACATATCATTTGATTATAATGATTAATTCATGTGCAGAACCAACCACACTTTTGGGAGAGCCGAATACAGAGAACTGGTTCATAGTATGCCACAAGGTCCTCCAAACGATCTCCCGCAGGTTTTGAATTCAGAGTTGTCCTTCCGCTAGAGCATTCGCCACCAGTCTGTCTTTCTATTTAACCACAGCTGGGGTCCATACCTTCCTCAAGGATATATATATATATATATATATATATATATATATATATATATATATATATATATAAAGGTGTTCCAATAACTTGGACCGATTTTAAATGAGAATTAATTTTAAGCGTCTAATGATTTTTCCTTTTTCTTTCAGATTGGCAGCCATTTGGGCGATATTATTTTTCACACATAATTGCCATGACTTAAATAACATGATCTAATAGAGAAATAAATAAATTTTCACCAATAACACTGATTTATTTCCTGCTGACTTTGATCCGTCTTAATGAAACACTCTTTATATATGCATGATCGTTGCGATTCGATTTCGAGTAATACTATCGCTTGACTCGGACTCAAATATGGTCAGTAGGGATATAGCTTTTTAGTGCAGCTAAGAACTTAAACACACACACACACACACACGCACACACACATGCACGTACACACACGCGCACACACACAATTTTACAATTTGATTAATGAATACCGTTTCTGCGAAACTCTGAGTTGGGAAGTTGAGTCTAAACATTTTATTTTATTTGTTAGAGAAAGAGAAAGAGAGAAATCTTCGGGAGATGAGCGATCATGGCTCTCTACAATTTCCTGTCCTTTATAGCTCTTAGCAAATTTTGTCTTTTCGCTATCTCTTCTAATTCCTGTTCTACAAACCATTTACACAAGCTTGTTGATTACGTTATTCGTTGCTTTCCTCTGTCCCTCTTGCCATTAACATGGCCTATTCTAAACCCTCTTTCCTCATTAAAAATTTAAACTTTCATTCTGATATTTAATATAAGTGTCCTCAGAAAGGGAAATGCAGAAACTTCTACAGAATTTAATAAAGGAAAGCGAGAAGAAAGGACTAAACATGTAAGAAGACAGAATGTATGATTGTCTGGAAGAAGAAAAGCTCAACATATGAATTACATTTATGTTGTGACCAAGTAATAACAAAGCCCAGGTTTGAGTAATAACAAAACCAGGTTTGCAGATATATCGTAAATTAAACAGTAAGTACACCAGAAGAGTATTACACGACTAGTGAGAGTGTGTCAAATGAACTAGCGCTCAATCTATTCACGGTTCCCCGAAGCCTTCTGCCCTACTAATCTTATAGTAGACAGAATAGTCCAACATAGACTCTTAAGAGGGAAGACACCACAACAATTTATCTATTATTGTCGGATTCATATTTCTTCCCGGTCTTTTGAACAGGAGGTTTATCCCTTGTTTTCTGTTTAGGATTGGGTGGGCTTCGGTTTCTTCTAAAGTTTTCGTAATCTCTTTCACTCCTAGTGACCTTTTACGTCTTAGTGGCATCATCGCCTTGGTTAGGAGAATTGATTAATATATATATATATATATATATATATATATATATATATATATGTGTGTGTGTGTGTGTGTGTGTGTGTGTGTGTGTGTGTGTATATATTCTGTTCATACGTTATTTTAATATATAGAATTTATTTAATTAAATATAACTATAAAATAATAAAATAACGTATAAACAGAAAATATATTAAATAATTGTCGGACTTAATCTATTTCTTAATATATATATATATATATATATATATATATATATATATATATATATATATGGACTTATAAATATATTTTTCCGCCAGGTGTATAAATACTGGTGTCAGGCTACTGACTGCAGTGATTATTGAGGGAATTATCCAGTCAAATTAGTGTGAACTATTGTGCGTTGAAGAAGATTTGCGTTTTGATTTAGGATTTACTGGACGTTAAGCCGAGCCGCGCTAGTAACGAGGTATTCACTGAAATGGTTAATTATCTTTGGTTGACTTTATTTCTTTGTTCTTCTTAAGTGTTTATCTGCAGTTGTAATTAAATACTGTTTTATCTTAACATTGAAGTCTTGAGTTATACTTGATTATTAACGGCCACTGTACGTCACAAAAATATATTTTCTGTTTATACGTTATTTTTATAGATACAATTTATTTAAGTAAATGCTCACTTTTTAATTAAACAGTATTAATTACATTTTGGAGAAATTTCTTAGAAAATATGCGTTCTCCGACAAGAATCGAATCTGAATTCCTGTACGAAAACCGTCATTTGATCTGACGTGCTGTATCATTCAGCTACAGAGAAGCGTCTGATTAACAAAGTCCGTATTACTGTTTATAAACAATCTTCGACGATTTTTCTCGATCGATCAATTTTGCTTAACGTAAGTAATGACAACATATCATGAAATAGATTAAGTCCGACAATCATTTAATTTATTTTCTGTTTATACGTTATCTATAAAAAAAAATAACGTATAAACAGAAAATATATTAAATAATTCTCGGACTTTTATGAAATGTGTACACACACACACACACACACACACACACACACACACACACACACACACACACACACACACACACACACATATTACTACTCTCCCAAGCCAACATACGCAACAACTATATCAAGAAATCAAAAGAAAATGGTTGAATCCATGAACACAACAATAAAAACAATTTCTACACGTGATAGTAGTTGCCGTAATTTTCAGTTGATAATATGAATACAACAGCGTTTTCTGAATTCTTTTTGTTGCTAAGGACATTTTGTTTTTTGTTAATAGTTACTTTGTTTTTAATAAATTCATTTCGTCTTTGCCTTGAAAAAGTCCACATTGGACAAAACGCGTCGTTTACCCATTGTCTTTTATCTTTTACCTTTATACATATTGTCTTTTTCAACAGGTTAACTCTGAGATTTTTTTCATATATATATATATATATATATATATATATAAGAGCCAGATGTACTTTTATAAGTACACACAAAATATACATGCACATACCTACCCACATATATGTGTGTGCATACAATGCGTACACATATTATGTGTTTTTACTTTCAAGTTTTTATACGTGTGTACGCATATCACAAAGTTTGTGTGTAAATATGAACAGCTGTGTATGTGTGCGTGTGTGTGGAGTGAGGTGGTTAGTTCCGCTTCACTTTTTTTGTGCGTGTAAAGATAATTTTTTAAAACTTTTTCTTTATCGTTTGGTCGTTTGGTAATTTGTCTTTTTTTTCCCTCCGTGATTTGCGTTCCATTCTAATTTTAAACATTCTTTCATCGACTTATTTCATTTTTTACTTGCCATGCTTTTTTTCCTCGTAATTTTCTAATCTTCAAATCCTTTTTTCGCTCCTCATTTTAATACGGAAAACCAATGTTGTTTATTACCGTGAGAGAGAGAGAGAGAGAGAGAGAGAGAGAGAGAGAGAGAGAGAGAGAGAGGAGTAGAGAGAAGGATACAAAACTCAAATATAAAATACATCTGGAGATAACACTATTGAAGAATTTAAAGAGAGAGAAGAAAGAAATAATAATAATAATAACAACAGCAATAACAAAGTGAAAAGGGAGATGAGGTGAAATGGCGAGAAAGTGGGGCAGGTTAAATATGGAGGCGGTTGAAAGAGAGGGAGAATGACAGAGGGCAGCAGAAATCGATGACGTCGTTGTGACGTCATAGCGCCTCCGGTGAGCTTCCGTTACAAACGAAGAAAGCGAATAAAAGATTTTTACACGATTCGGTTTTGTAATTGGACAAGAAAGGCAGAAAGAAGTAAGGAAAGGGAATATGACAAACAGATAGATAGATAGATAGATAGATAGATAGATAGATAGATAGATACCGAGAAGGAGATAAGGGTAGCGGTAAGAGAAAGACAAGCGAAAGAATTCAATATAGAAATGTTGAGAAGGTGAGATTATCAAAGGGTTTGGAAATAAGACTGAAAAATCTAGTCTGAATAAATGTAAGTAGTGATTGAGAATATAGTGTGATTGAAGATTGTGTCATTAAAAGCGAGACTGAATGAGGCTGGGATAAGAAAGAAAGAAAGAAAGAAAGAAAGAAAGAAAGAAAGAAAGAAAGAAAAGTAATAGAAAAAAAGTAAAGAAAATGAGGAAAGAAAAACAAAGGAAATAGAAAGAAAGAAAAAGGAAAGAAGAACACAGAAAGAATGAAAGAAAGAAAGTAAAAAGTAGCAAGTAAGAAAAGAAAGAAAAAAGAAAGAAAAGAAATAAGTAAAGGCAAAAGGAAATAGGAAGCAATAAAAATGAAATTGAAAGAAAAAGTGATATAAGAAATAAATAAAAAAGTAAATAGAAAGTACAAAAGAAAACAATTAATAAAGAAAGAGAGAGAAATTAAGAAAATAAAGAAAGAAGGAAAAAAGGAAACGAAAAGTATGAATAGCAAGCAAGCAAACAAGAAAGAAAAAAGGAAACAAAGTAAAAAAGCAAGTAAAAAATAAAGACAAAAGAAAACAGAAAAAGCAAGCAAGAAAGAAAAAAAGAAACAAAGTAAAAAAAAGCAAGCAAGAAAGAAAGGAAGAAAGAAACAAAGAAAACACAGAAAAAAGCAACCAAACAAGCAAGAAAGAAACAACGAAACAATGTAAAAAGCAAGCAAGCAAGCAAGAAAGAAAGACAGAAAAAAGAAAACAGTAAAAAAGCAAGCAAGCAAGAAAGAAAGAAAGAAAAAGAAAAAAGGAAAACACAGAAAAAGCAAGAAAGAAAAAGGCAAACAGAAAAACAAGCAAGTAAGAAAAAAAGAATAAAAGAAAGAAAATACAAAAAAAAAGAAAAGAAAAATAGGAAACAAAGCAAAAAATCAAGTAAAAAAGAAAGAAAAAAAAGAGAAACAGATAGCAAGAAAATCACGAAAGAAATGTTCGTCCTTGTGCGAAATAGTTAAGTATTTTCTCACCAATGTGAAATAATTGGTGTTCGAGTCATTGTAAAAGTCAGAATTTCGAGCATTGATTTTCAAAGGAAATAAATAGGCAGGCCTTTATTATTTGAGATATTGTTGCAACGCAATTTTGCTCAATTATATTTCCTTTCGTTTTGGTCTTTTGCAACACTGAACTGAACTGAACAAAAAAGGATAAAAAACGACAAGAAAGGAAAAAGAGAAAAAGAAAGTAATATAAAATAGAAAAGGAGAAAGACAGAAAATAAGAAGGAAATAAAAGTGGGAAATAAGATATCTAGAAAAAAGACGGGAGAAGAAAGAATAAAAGAAAGGGAATAAAGAGAAAGAAATCGGCGAATGAAAAAAAGAAAGAAATATATATAAATAATAAATTAACTGAGTTAAAATATGATTTTTTCTCGCTACATAGTAATAACCAAGTTTCAAAAATGGTTAAAAACTTTAAATTTAATTTTGTAATTAGATTAAAAACATTAGTTCCATTTCATCCTCAAGCGAATTTTGGACTCCAATGGAACTAATATTTTTTATGTTTTAAAGTATTTAGCTTCCATTTTTGAAATATGGTTATTACTGTGTAGCGAAAAAAAAAACATATTTTAAATCAGTTAATTTATAATATTAATGCTCTGTAAATTTACATTGAGCACTATTTTGTAAAAAATAAAAATATCTATAAGAACACCGGATTACATATCTTAATGTTCTTTCTTTTATTTAAATATACATACATACATACATACATACATACATACATATATATATATATATATATATATATATACTTAAAAATTTGATTAAAAAAAATGAATCGTTAGGTTTTTTTTTCAATTTAAAAAAAAACGTTACGAGTCATATTTTATCAAACGTTTCCCAGGGAATTTATCCCGAGGAGCGAAATGGCCATAAAAATGGGGTACAATTGAGTTTCATTTTTATGTAATTCATATATATATATATATATATATATATATATATATATATATATATATAGATAGATAGATAGATAGTAAAATGAATGAAAAAAGAAAAAATGAATGAAGAAAAGAAAGGAAAGAAAAGAAAGAAAGGTAAAGAAAAAAGGAAATGAAAATGTGTTAGAACGACTGAAGTGGCTGATTGAAGTAAAAATGGAAACAGGTAGTTCAGAAACATTATAAATAAAAAGTTAAGGCGTAAAATATATTAGAAGAAAAATATAAAGATGAAGGTAACCAAAACATTAGAATAAAACAAAAACGTTCAAAGCGTAAAGAACTTTTGCTAAAATGAAAGGAAAATGACGTAAGGCATTTTTCGTTCTTATTTCATTAAAATCTTTGAATGAAAATTCGAATCAAAGCAAAGGCTGTCAAGAAGCGGGAAAACATCGAAAAAAAAGAAGAAAAATAAAAATAAACGAAAAGGTTTGCTTTTGCATTATTTAATAAAAAAACTATTTTCCGAGAGCAAGATAGAAGCTGAATACTGACAAAGCATCGACACAAGATGGTTTCCACGTTGTCTTTAGTTAGGTCCCAAAATTTGCTGGGTTTTATTTCACGTGCCAGCCGTTTGAATAGGCCATGCCAAGTCCAGAGGACGGATAAATGAAGGTAGCTGCGGTCGAAAATCTGTACCCTTTACTTGTATCTTCTTCCTTTTGAGTTGTTTAAGCTAAGTCAACGTCAGTAGTGGCGTTGCTTAAGATTTAGTTCAATTTGTGCAGATTTGCTAATAAAGGTGTTGTAAAAAAAAACTCGGTGTATTATATTTCACAGGCTTTCATCATTGTCTTCGCTCCTTACTAGCAGCGTCGGAAATATGTCTACGCAACAAATATAGGACCTGCCTGAGATGATTCTCATCTAATGTTGAGGATTTAAAACATATAGATAGATTTTAAATTTGTTTTAATTCGATTCTAGAGCATGTAGGCTTTTCATGATTAAAGGCTTTATTCTTTTCAGCTACAGAGGAAGAAAACAGAACGGTGAATAATTCAGTAGCCTCGACACTATTTTGACAAATACTGTATCACATTGAGAAATAGATATATTGCAATATTTAGAGGACTGTCGAATAAGTATTAGGAATAAGTAAGCAAAGAAATATTTTGTAAGCAAAAATTTTAGAGTGTTTGGGGCAAATATTTTTTTTTGTTTTACTAACAACGAAGAAATATAATATTGCAAAAAAGTCACTTATAGATAAAATGGCTTGTGCTTGCTTTTGATTTTCGTGCACGATAATTGATTTTAAAGCAGTACGAGGGGGATGCAACACTTCTTACAACAGCCAGAAGAGTCTTAATACTGAGCACATGTATAAATGACGTCACAACAAAGATGACTGCCATAAATAGGACAAACATTGAGCAGCAAAGTGTATTAAGATTTTTGCATGCCGAAGAGTAAAAAATCCAAAGTAATTGATTGAAAAACACAAGTTTCAGCTCATGGGCACTTCTTTTTCATTGGCACAGGGGAGCTGATAGAGATTTTTTTTTGGAACACGTGATGAAACCAGGATGCATCACTTTATCCTAGAGACAAAGTTTGAGTTTAAGACTTAAAAGCATCCATATAACCTCTCTCCAGAATTAACAAAGTTATTGTGATTTGTAGATTTCGTTACTTATTTTGTTCGTCGTATTTCCTAATATGTTTCTTTATTGTTTTTCTACCGTGTAATTAAAGGATTCTATTTACACCAATATATTTTTCTATTGCTTAATCAATTTTTGCATGTCAGAAGGCAAAAATCTAACCTCCCGCTCCAAAGTAATTGACTGAAGAACACAAATTTCAGTTGAAGAGGATGTCTTTTTAACTTTCACAGGCGGAGATGATAGATACACAATTAGAAAACTTAATGTGATTTGTTGATGCATTTTTTATTCATTGAGTTTATCGAATTCGTTATTTTTTTTCTTGGTGCACTGCTTTCGTATAGTTTAATCATTTAGGTTGTTCTCTCCTGCAAGCATCTTAAAGTTTTGAAGAGAGGCTATATTATATAAAGCCTCAGTTCACCAATGTTTAACGACCGTTCTTGACAAAGTGGATCTTCGAAGAACTCATTCTCGATTGAAAAGCCCCTAAAAGACTTTTCGAGTAGCATGAGCGATACACCTTTCACTTACCTTTGCTGTTATTACTTTTCTTTGGAGTTTAATTTCGTGTAGCAGACATCAACTTTTGATTTAACTTAATATTGAAATATACCCTTTTTTAGTATATATCAAACGCTTAAGTATTGTGACTATTCAAAAGATTTATCTTTATAGAAGCCGTTAAAAAGAACGTTGCCAGTTTAATTAACTTTTTAACTCACGTGATAAAAACCATTATGGAGCATTTACTTTAAAAAGAAACTTAAAATTTAAGCCTGTTATTTTTAACTGCTTTAGTATCCCGAATATAGAGGTGTTTTATATTATCTATATCTATCTATATCTATAATTCTCAAAATGTGTGTGTGCATGTATGTGTATGTATGTGTGTGTGTGTGTGTTTTCATCCGATTTTGATTAATTTTTTTTTGTTTGTTAGATAATTCTGGAAAAAATTGAAAGGTGAAAAATCGAAAAGAAACTGATTTTTTACACTTTGCGTAAAAATCAAAGACAAAATATAATGTCTGTAAAAACAGCGTACAATCAAATTAGAGAGTTGAAATCTAACACAAAAGATTATTAGAATTATAAAAAAAACCCTCAAAAACGGCCCTTTTCAGCACCCCCCCATTTTAGGGATGTACCTCAGTTGCTACTAATATTGATTTCCAGGTGGGCTGACTTTAAACTTAAACTGCTCCAATTGAACGGGAAAAATTCCCAGTCAAAGTCAGGTTATACTGCTAGTATCTTATATTTACAAAGATTTGATAAAAAAAACTCAACTGGTTGAAGTGTATCCTGTTGGCTAAAAAGTTCGATATATTTATTATGTAAAATAAAAGTAATATATTGTTTACTTTAACTTTAAAATTTAATATCCTGGGTATAGAGGTGCGTTTTGTATAGAAGTATCTTGTGTATAACGTTTTAGATATTTTATATGTACAGAGACATGATCAAAAAGTTCATCAACTGGTTGAATTGGGACGTCTGAGTATTGTATTGTGTTGGACAAAAAGTTAATTCGTTTTATTATGCAAAATCAGAACGCAATTATTTATATCCAACCTTATTATTATTATTATTGAATAAAATATTTAACGTTTTATTCGATTTCTGTTTTCTATCTTCTGTCAGTCTTTGAAGCAACTTTCTAATTTCATCAATTATCTTCTGTTTAAAAGCCTCATAATCACCAAGTGACAGCCGTCTGCTTCTGGGCTTTACTTGAAAGGAGGAGTCACTACCCTTAAAACGTTTAAATCTGTTTTGGAACAATATGACAGATATTACTTAATTACATTCCACTGCACGAATTCTGCAAGTAGCTCCATTAGCGCTGAGGCCTAGTTTAAAATAACGCCGCAAAACACCCAATGAACCAATATTTGCATCCGTCATTGTAACATGCCACAACGGGCATCCGTCATTGTAACACGCCACAACGTGCATCCGTCATTGTAATATGCCACTACTTGCATCCGTCATTATAACATGCTATCGGCAAAAGGATGAGACAGAAATGCGATTTGCAGGTAGGAGACACTAAAATCGATCATGTGCGGACGTTTAATATCTGGGGAGTGTTCTGACGGAGGACGGTACGTGCGAACGCTGAGATCCGAAGACAGATTGGGATGGCCAAGGATGCATTCCAAAATCTGGGCAGAGTAATGCGAGAAAGGAGGATTTCCTTGATGACAAAGAAAAGATAACTGACCTGCTACTTGACATCTGTCCTCCTATACGGCAGCGAATGTTGAACGGTCTCCTCAAAGATAAAGAAGCGACTCGGGGCGACGGAGATGTGGTTCTACAGATGGATGCTAAGGATATCATGGTTTGAGCAACGATGAGGTCTTCAAGAGAATGCAAACAATGAGGAAGCTTATACTTAACAGAAGGAAGAGGCAGAGGAAATTTCTGGGACATGTAATGAGAAAGGAGGGCCTGGAAAATCTGATACTCACAAGTCGAAGAGAGGAAAAAAGAGACAAGGGAAAGCAACGCTTGACATACCTGGCGGGCTTAAGCAAGTGGATAACAGAACGTGGTCTGGTGGAGGTGACAGAGGCACGAAACTTATTGAGAGCTACAAGGAATAGGAGGAAGTGGAGAGCCATGATCGTCTACGTTCTGAAAGAACACGGCACATGAAAAGAAAAGAAAGACTATCTATATCCTTCATTGTAACATGGTATTAGTTTTAACCGCCACTGCAATGTGCCACTACTTGCATCCATCATGGTAACATGCCACTACCTGCATCCGTCATTGTAATATGCTACTACTTAGATCCCTCATTGTAACACGCCACCACTTGCATCCGTCACTGAAACGTGCCAGTACTGGCATCCGTCATTGTAATATGCCATTACTAGCAGCCGTCATTGCAACATGCCACGACTTGCACCCATCATTGTAACATGCTACTACTTACATTTCTCATTATAACATGCCACCACTTACATCCGTCACTGAAACGTGCCAGTATTGCAGCCGTCATTGTAACGTGCCGCTACTTGCATGCGTCATTGTAATATGCTACTACTTATATCCCTCATTGTAACACGCCACCACTTGCATCCGTCACTGAAACGTGTCAGCACTTGCATCCATCATGGTAATACGCCATTACTTGCATCCGTCATTGTAACATGCCACGACTTGTCCCCATCATTGTAACATGCCATTAGTTACATCTATCATTGTAACATGCCACTACTTGCATCCGTAAGTGTAACACGCCACCACTTGCATCCGTCACCGAAACGTGCCAGTACTTGTATCCGTCACTGTAACGTGCCGCTACTTGCATTCATCATTGTAACATGCTATTAGTTGAATCCGCTATTGCAAAGTGAAAATATTGCAAAATACCATTTCTTATATCCACCAGTGGAATGCTCGAAACAAAAAGTACTAGTGAATCTTACTGATAATATGATATGTTAAAATAATATTATCAAAAATATAGGAATTTTTTTTTCTTCGATTCACCCCAAGCAAGGCGATAATACCACATGAGGCTACTGGGTGTGAAAGAGAATGAGAAAACTTTAGAAGGATCCGGAAACCCAATCCTAAGCAAGAAAGAAGGGATAAACCTCTACTCCTGTTCAAAAGACAGTGGATGAGAGTGAACCGAACAATAGGCAATCCTATCTACTTCTAATATATAGATGTGTACAGGAAATAGGTTTTTGAGGTAATGGATTTTAAAAGAACGAAAATACTTTTCATACGTACTAATGAACAGCGAGGTAAAATATAAATAGTGCTTATCAGGCAAATATTACACGTATTACCCGCTTTTACTTACCAGTGTAGACGATGATTTGAATTTCTTCAATTGTAGAAAAAGAATTTCATAAAAGACTTAAATCTGGATTTAGTTGGGTGAAAAACAAAAGGGATCGAAATGGATATAAATTGAATAATAAAAATCCATAAACGAAAGGAAGATGTGGATTTTGTAATGGAGAAAGTTAAAAATTAATAAATGTCAAAGAAGGGAAGGTGAATGAAAAGAGTAGGAGTGAAGAGAAAAGAAAGCAAAGAAGAAAGAAGGTATATGAATGAACTAAAGAAAGAAAAAAGATGAAAAAATATAACAAGAAAGGGAGGGAAAGAAAGAAAGAAAGAAAGAAAGAAAGAAAAAAAGAAAGAAAGAAAGCAAGGTGAAGAGGAAGAAAGAAAGTCTGGTGAAGAGGAACTGAGATAGATAGATAGATAGATAGATAGATAGATAGATAGATAGATAGATAGCGATTGAGGAAAAAGAGAGGGGAAAAACTGAAAAAGAAAGAAAGAAAGAAAGAAAGAAAAGATAAAGAAAGAAAGTGAAGTGAAGAGGAAAAAAGAAAGAAGGGGTGGTGAAGAGGAACTGGGAAAGAACAAAGAAAGAAAGAAAGAAAGAAAGAAAGAAAGAAAGAAAGAAAGGAACAGAAGAACGAAAGAAAATACGTAGTATTCGCTATAATAACGTTTAAAGAAATAAAATTATCGGCTTAAAAATAAATCCACTCATTGTTCATAAATTGATAAGTAAATAAATAAAGCCAGGTGAAGGAAAACTGGAAAAGAAATAAAAAAGAAAGAAAGAAAGAAAGAAAGAAAGAAAGAAAGAAAGAAAAAAAAAAAGAAAGAAAGAAAGAAAGAAAGAAAGAAAGAAAGAAAGAAAGAAAGAAGGGGAAAAGAAGAAAAGAAATAAATATGAAAGAAAACATGAAATCTAAGAAAGTGAGGAAAGCCACGGCAATAAAAAACATTTATTCACCAGTTAAATTGCACTGTTTGTTACGCACTTGCATAAAATATGCCTTAGTCCCCATCTTATTTCTATGTCGGAGCAATCTTCCTTTGTTGGTTCCAAGTCGGGCTCGAGCAATTGACGTCAGAATAAATGAAATGCCCATCGGCCAATCAATTAAGAGAAGGCATTTGCTGTTGCGTCGCGTCAATTAATAAAGATTCTGCTGAGTTATTGGCACTGGCATTCCAGAGAGTGATTTCAGTGTAGACCAACAATAAGTGAAGCATAAGGGCAAAGAAGACGTTTTCATAATGTGGCTGGACTGCATGGTGGTCGGCAAGATATGGCACCACAAAATTCTTTTTAGCTAACACCTACATCGACGAAAGAATATTCAATTACTTAAATGTACGTCATACACTGACAGCAATAGCTGACTTGTAGAACATAGAACAGCACGCGGCCCGGTTAAAAGTTATATTCGTCTTGCGATATAAGACATGTCAACGGGTGTTCGCTTCGGGGAACAAGAGGCGTTAATTTCAGATCAAAATAATATGCCTTTTCGCCATAGAAGCAATCCAAAATGATTGTTAAATACGCAATAATCGCTTCCAGAAAAAGACTAAATTTATGTCTGAAGTACCTCGTTTTATTTCAGTTGATATCTCTAGAAACATCTCTAGAAACATTACGAATATCTGAATACTGGTGTAGTACGTTTTGATTCGATGGTCAAACTAATTTTTAACGTTAATATCTCTTAAGAATGTTTGAAAGACACAATTACACTATATTAAATCAGCAGTTCTTGATCCTTTTCAAGGCTCGCAAACCGAGATTTCAAAACCTTTCTCACTTTCCATCGAAATTTTATTTATTTTTTTTTTGCTATCTACAATTTTAAAATCTTTCTCGCTCTCTGATATATCCCGAAAAGGGATATATTTGTTCGAAGTAGCAAAGTCGTTATTGACTACTGTAACCGGGTAGGACAATCTAGCAGGCGTAGGCAATAGGTGTCCTCCCTGTACCTCCACATCAGTTTGTTTTTATGGCTGACACCAGCCAACCATATTACTGTGAGGGGAAACCAGGTGTATGAATATTCATAACATCACTCTGCTTCGAGATTTTAAAATATTTCTCGCATTCTTTCGAAATTTTAAAAACTTTTTCGCTCTCCTTCATGACTTAAAAATCTTTCTCGGTCTCCTTTGTGATTTTAAAATCTTCCTCATTCTCCATCGAGGTTTTAAAATCTTTTTTGCTGTCCGTCGAGATTTTAAAATCTTTCTCGCTCTCCGTCGAGGTTTTTAAAATCTTCCTCGCTTTCTCTCGAAGTTTTAAAATTTTCCTCGCTCTCCTTCGAGATTTTAAAATCTTCCTCGTTCTCTTTTGAGATTTTAAATTCTTCCACGCTCTCTTTCGAGATTTTAAATTCTTCTCACTCTCCTTCGAGATTTTAAATTCTTCCTCGCTCTCCTTCGAGATTTTAAAATCTTCCTCGCTCACCTTCGAGATTTCTCAACATATTTTTCGTACACTTTCGAGATTTCAATTTCATGCTTCCCTTGAACTAAAGGCTAAAAAATTAAATTTTTCAAAGGCGAAACTGGCAAATTTAATTTTGAAATAGTCTAAATAACAAAATATATTAAAATTTTATTGATATCAAAAATAAAACTCTGCATCAAGATTTTACTGGTAAAACTGATCTGCGCTTTAGTTGATGAGAGCGATTTTGTTGTTATGCTGGAAAAAAAAAACTTACTTCGCAAAAATATACAGTCGCATAAAAGAACTAGTTCAAATAATTTTGAATTCTAAATGTGGAAATATTTGAATCAATGATGCCGAAAATGTTATTCATAATTTTATTTAAACAATTTATTTTTTTATTACTGGCTATTTTCCTACCAAATATAACATAAACTAAAGATAACGTTTTATAGTAGCAAGAAACAATGTCGGATTATAAATAAAATCCAGTAATTACTTCGAAATATATATATATATATATATATATATATATATATATATATATATATATATATATATACACATACAGTGTACTGGGCAGCAGATTATTATTCAAATATAATATTGTTAAATGTAACAGAACAACGAATGTCTTATGTTTGATCATGAGCCGTTCTAAACTTTGTATAGTTGCTTTATGAAATTCATAAATTTTCACCATGTGCTCCGTCTGTATCCCTGCAAATTCAAATCTATCCTCAGTGTTGTGAAACACGTTCTGAATCAATTCAGGAGTTATCTCCTCTTGCATTCCTTACTGAATGCGTTCTTTAAGCTCAGCTAAACTGTTGGTGTTTTGGCGGTAAACCTTTGCTGTTATGAAAAACCTATGCAAAGAAATCAGGGGGTCAACAAAGATGCATTCTTGTATATTCATTATTAATAGGTTTTCTAAAAGGGGGTGAAAATAAAATGAGGAAAAAAATTATAAAATTATAAACAAAATTAGAAATGTATACACTTCTAACACATATGATGAATAAAAATAAAAAGTGAGTTTTTGAAAGTTTTCAGATTTTACTGAAACAGATATTTAATTTTGACGCACACACACACACACACACACACACAGACACATATATATATATATATATATATATATATATATATATATATATATATATATATATAAAACCTAATGAACCAGAACCTACCCACCATAATTAACAAAACATAGAATTGTTTTTTCGATTTTGTTCTACTTAGTGTATTGAGCATTTTTACGTTTTTACTTAATTTACTCTGTCAGTGTTTTTTTTCTTTTGACAAGGCATTGCAGTGCTGATTGATTATTTTCGACCGACACGGATGTCTTAAGTCTTTTCTTTTTTTTATTGATTTTTTTCGGTTTGTTTAAATATATTTTTATTAACAAATTGTAGTATCTGTGTTTCTTCACACCGCCCGAGTATAGGTATTAAAATAATATATATATATATATATATATATATATATATATATATATATATATATATATATATATAATTAATCATAACCAACTGTTCAGGTAGATGGAGCTCGACATCCCAGAAGGTCGGTCCATCTAGGGGGAAGGAAAAACCTGATTTTAAACCTCCGTTACCTTGCAGTCATGTCCAAACACGGAAAAAGGCTATGAAAGTAAATCCGGACATAAAACCTGGAGTAGAGCACCAAAGTCGGCTGGCTGTCAACATTAACAAATTTCCGGCAATTCCTGCAGTTAAGCCGTTCCCAAATGTAGTGCCCTGCATTCATTTGGAAATTCTTAGTACGGCCTAGAGGGGCTATGTAGTGTGGGCAGAGCACAGCCTCCATATACCAACATCCAGGCCTGTATCCTAGGAGGGGTCAATCTAGTCTCACCATCATAGGACTGAATCTTTACCAAACTGGGCGCTACATTTATCTCGACATATATATATATATATATATATATATATATATATATATATATATAACTTAACCGGGTATTGAACTCACACTTTACCGAGTATTGAACTCACACTCTTTAGGTACTGTCACTGGGACACATGGCACAGTGGATAAGGGCAGTGGAGAACTTAGAGAGGGGAATTAACAGGAGATAACTAACTGGCATCCATTAAACATGGCACGTGGAACTAGAACAGTCTACCCCAGTGAGCAAAATAAAGGGTTCAGTTCGATATTCCAACCACCTGAAGAAGGCCAGAGCGTACAAAGGCCGAAACGTTGTAATAAATATGGCGACAAAGATGAGTACAATAGTCCGAATAGTGTAAATAGTGTACACAATTTTTTATTCACGTAAAATCATTTAAACGTCAATCAACTCTAAACAGATATTTGCTTGATTGTTGCCTGTACAAGTCACACAACTACGTTGAACTACGAAATTGCCTTTGCTTAATAATGCTTTCATCTTAATTTCAGTAACTGTTTCGCGTAACCTCATTTAATAATAATAATAGGACATATACTGAAAAATCGTGTTAGCCCAAATGCAGATTATGTGATAAGTATCCAGAAACAATTGGCTATCTCGTATCAGGTTACACAGTATTTTACACCCACTGAATATAAAAGCCAGCAAGACAGAGTGCATTGGAACATCAATAACTTTGACAGAAAGGAAACTGCAATAAATTGGCATAAGTACTCTCCAACCCGGTTACAGACATAGGACCTGTAACAATTTTATGGGACTTTACACACAGATAGAACAATTAAATCTAAACAAAAATACACCGTAATCAGAGTCCACAAAAGCAAAATATGCCTTGTTATTGGCATGGCAGTTCCCACAGAATGTAATGTATCTTTCAAAATCTTCAAAGAAACTAAAATGCAAGAACCTTGAAATGGAAATCTCAAAACTGCGGCACATGAGGACATTAATAATTCCTGTTGTAGTTGAAACCTTCGGATCGATTAGAAAAGGTGGCGATAGACTCACTGAAGGTTTTCCTGGTACCCCAGCTCTTAAAGAAATACAAAACAATGTACTCACAAGTACAGCTCACACCTTACGAAGGGCTTTATCTATATAAAATGTGTGTGATCTTAGGGGTTTGGGTTTTTTTTTCTCCAAAAATGCTCAGTGCAAAACATCATGATACAAGTTCTGACCTTAAGTCTCTGGTGGGGACCCGGAAATAAATGAATATACGCCAGAAATCAAAGTAAATAATAATAATAATAATAATAATAATAATAATAACAACCCAGTTTTGCCAACGAACATCTTAATATGCAAATTCTGAAAAAAATATCCGGAATCCTTTCTCTCTTTTAAAACGCATGAAGATAGTTACGTATGTAGACTACCAACTTCCCATCCCGAAGGGAATAAACAAAATGACAGGATAATTCCACAAAATTTATACTAAATTACCTATGGGCGCCTCCAGGCGGTGTAATGGTTAGCAAGCTTGTATCGCTAGAACGATTACTACTGAGTATTGCGTTCGATCCTCACTGGGTGCCCCATACTTTCAACCTTGTGCCGCAGCTAAGCTTGGAAAATCGCTATACTAAATTGCCTGATTAATTTAACTAACAGAAAATTTCAAGATGAGCGCGATTAACATCATGTTACTCACTTTTCAGTTGCATAACATTCACAATGGCTGCGTTTCATTTGTTTTTTTTAAATATTTT